TGGAAACAAAAACCCATTTGGGAATTTCAGTTGACATTTCATGAGTTAGCCCACCCACTGTAAATTTAAACAGTCGTATATCAGAAAGAAGGCAGAAATTACTCAATTTTTGCCGTACTGACAGTACAGGTACTAGCTAAAAGGCAGCAGAAGTTATTGCTAGTTATGAGTAGATGCATTTACTATAGTGCAGTCGTCCTCGGAATATAAACCACTGATGAAGAATGACAGGTGTAGTCCATTTGCCTGAAAGACTCGATAGGGCAACCAATGGCCAAAAAGTCCAGGTGGTAGAATTGGTTGTCTGAGCAGTGATGCTTTTGCTGATATTCATGTTTACAAAAAGCCTACAACACAAGAATACAGTAGATGTGCTAACTCATGAAATGCCAACCGAAATTTCGAAATGCGTTCTCGTTTCGAAAAGATAAATTAAGTAGTGTTATAAAACTAATCATGATGCAGCATAAATCTATAATGATCCAGTTACCTCAGGATGTCGGCTTTCGAAAGAACTTATTTTCGGCTGCATGCACGATCTATACTCCGCAAAAATGACTGCTTAAGTAGCATGCAATTTTCTCATTGATTTTCGATGCCCTTGAAAATTCAATTATATTTCATGAAAAACATGCATAAAAATATTCATTCTTCTACTTATTCGGTAGAAAATCACGTCTTCTTCCAATTTCATACTCAAAAGAAGAGTATAATTCGGTTTTAAAAAAGTTTCTAATTGTGAGATTTTTTAATACCGTTAAATGGCCGTTCATGAAACGTCATGTATCTGTATTTACGAATGTGTCTTGCAAAGTTAACAATATTGCTCAAATCCACTGCTTAATTTTATGAACCTCATATGGTCTCCTCTTAACACCGTAGAGAAATGCATGGTTTTCCGTACACGGAAAATATACAGCTTGTAGTTTTGAAACCCTGAATGCAAGTATAACAGCAGGTCGGGTTCAAAATTATTCGTCCCCGGAATATAAACAACCGACAAAGAATGACAGTTTCAGTCCATTTGCCTGAAAAACTCGATAGGGCAACCAATGGCCAAAAACGTCCAGGTGGTACAATTGGTTGTCTGAGCAGTGATGCTTTTGCTGATATTCATGTTTACAAAAAGCCTCCGACACAAGAATAAACAGCTAATTTGTGAAGTTAGCTCTATTACTTTCACCAAGAACTGCCCGAAAATCACCAGCCCTGATAACAAAACCACTTCCAACTTCGGTATAAACACTTTGTGTTTGCTTCATTTACGAATCCTTTCTTGGTTTACTTTGCCAGTAAGATGTGATTATGTGGCCCCACCTGGTGGACACAATACTGTTGGAGTTGAGGTTAGGGTTTGGTGTTAGGGGGACTATTTCTCAATCGCTTAAAGTACAACCGCGCAATTTCAATAGCTTTTCTTTTCTTGACCTCGTCGCCTGTGCGTTCCCCGGTCCCACCTGTAACAATCCCTTTTACCACCGAGCCCGTATAACATGCAGCTGTGGGCTGTCTACTACAGGTGCGGCTACATAACCACATCTGGCCGTGGACTTTTACCCGTTCTAGGAAGGAAATTTGTCTTCGGATGCTAGGCAGAAATGTTTCGCTGGCTGTCCTTATCTATCAGCAGCAAATTCCCTTATTCAATATCCACTCTTAAATCGCTGTAAAAAAACTCGACTTTAGTTGCATTTTCCTTACTATATATGCCAAACGCCAAGTAAAGAAACGTCCCGAAATATTATGCTCTCCCATCTGTCTGTGTGGTTCCAATCATTCCCTTATTTAGTAAAATGCTAAACCATTTGTCGTGGAATTCAGCCTTAAAGGGCAGCTCGAATGTTGAAGGGGCACGATTTTCTGACCTCAAATTATTTCACGATGGGTTCTTAAATACTGCCTCCAGGGCCATTGCCAACTCCTCTGGCATCAAGGACTCCAGTTTTTTTCAAGAGTAAGGGGTTTCCCTACTATTAGAATGGTATAGAACTGTGCCCATATATTTCATGAATGATAGTTTTTGTGTGACATCGTCCTGGAATGGAGGCTGCTCCTTCAACTCCTCATCTGTCATGAGAAAGGACTAAAATTACAGTTGAGTAATCGTCAGTACCCGGCTTACTGTGACTGGTCAGGTGTTGGAACACAAGGTCATTCGAAATGACGATCGATATTTGGGCGCAACTTACACGTGTCTGGCCGTCGGGGACAGAGGCGTCCTTGGAGTAGACTTAATTTTACCAACGAGACTGCGCAACGCCCCAGTATCTAACGCTCGGCTAATGTCACTTGACTGAGGACGCCCCGACAAAGCCGACCGATCCTACAAATTCTAGCAATTCCTGAGGCCTTTAATTTGTTACTTTTTCTGAAAAGCTGACAAGGCACGGGTCTTTGTTTTGGTCTTCGGAATGCGGTTTCGCATGTCTTCATTTTTTATTATAGAAGTCATCGAGAGTTCTTCATGATCAGCAGTCAACTTCGGGCGGAAAAAAAACGAGCTTAGATGACTTTTGACAAAAGGACCAAAATCTCACCAGTTTTGCAGCCGCCACTCGCACGAAGAGCCGACGAAAAACGGAAAAAGGGTTTCGGTTTCAAGATATTTGGCAGGAAAAAGAACGACAACACCTCCACGGAACCCTACAGCACTGATGACGAAGCTTCCTCAAGTTGTCCTCTGACGCCCAGGAGACTGGTTCCGTCAGTGACTGTTGCCTCTGGGGAGGAAAATCCAGGGTCGGGTCATTTGGATGTGCAATTGCCCGAGACCCTACAAGCCGTAAGGAGGAGTCTGCAGACTCTGGCCGCAGAAGTACACAATGACAGCAAACGGTTAACATCTCTTCTTGGCAAGTCCCTGGGCTTGACCAGAACGCCTGGTCTGTCTAAGAACTCTCCACACTTCCTTCCATCGGCGGAGGAACTGCGTGAGATCAAACGCAGCATTCAACTACTGGTGGACGAAGTCAGCTGCGAGAACAAACATATCAAGGCGGCGCTTCGAGAGGCGTTGACGGAGCACAAACAACGCGTCCCACCCCGGATAAGTATCAAGTCGGCCAGTGATCCGTCCAGGTCTGAGTGTTGTTCAAGTGAGCCCCCAAGTGTTGCCACCACCGCCGCCGCCACTGCTGACGATGACGATGAGGATGATCCACCCTCGCTCCATTCCTTTCTCATGGACAGTTCCGTTGTTTCCTCAAATGTTGACAATTCCTGCAGACATACCAACCTTCCGGACACGCTGGATGAAATAAAAAGGAGTCTTCGGTCTCTTGTGAGGGAGGTACATTGCGACAACATGGAGCTTACTTCCATGCTGCAAAATTCTTTTTGTGCGCAGAGTTCTCCCTGTAAGAGTATGACGGAAACATGTCCTCCACCGGACGAACTAGGGGAGATCAAGAAGACCATACAGGAGCTGACGACAGAGGTTCAGGCTGAGAATAAAAACATCAAGATGGCCATTCAAGACAAATTAGGTTGCGAACCGCAGTCCGAGTGTCCGCCGGGCACCAGCCAATCACAGACTTGTCCGCAGGAGTGCTCTCCTTCGGCTTGTCAACCACGGACATGTTTGCGGCCTTGTCCTCCGCCCGCGTGTGAACCAAAGCCCTGTTTGCCACCTTGTCCGCCGCAGTGTTGCCCTCAGCACTGTCTCCCACCTTGTCCGGCGCCACCACCACCGCCACCACCGGACCCCTCGCCGGAGATCGAAGCGATCGAACGCGGCCTGGCTGATATCAGGGCCAGCCTCGCCTGTCTCTCTTGCGGAGTTAAGATGGGTGTCCGTCCGCCGCCTCCGCCTCCGCCCTGCCCGACGGACCCCGCGGTGCTACGCTCTCTGGACGACGTCAGCAGGAGTGTCCAATACCTGACCGAGGGCTTTCAAGAACTCTGCCGTAGACGCCAGAGCGAGGAGGCCAAGAAGCTAGCGCAGTCAGACATGGCAACTATGCAGGCGTTGGAGGAGCTGAAGAGTAGCATGCGGAACCTGGCCGAGGACTTCCACGACATCGTCAAACAGCAAAATGAGGAGGTTCGGTGTCCAGAGCCTGCTTGTCCTCCACCACCTCCAAGTCCCAATCCAGTCGATCTGATGATGGTACAGGCTTTGGAGGAGCTGAAATCTAACCTGAAGGGCTTGTCGCAAGAATTTCACACGATGTCACAGCGACGTATGCAGGAACTCATCAAGTGCGAACCCCCTCCTCCTCCACCTCCGCCCCCACCACCACCGCCCCCGCCACCACCACCTCCACCATGTCCACCGCCGCCCCCACCACAACCTGATCCGCAACTGGTGAAGGCGCTGGAGGAAATAAAGGCAACTGTGGCTGTTATTGGGAACGGACTGCAGCAGTCGGATGCCTACCGAACGCGGTACTCGAGTGATGAGGCCGAAAAGGATGGGCAGCCTGGATATCCGGTGATTATGGAAGCCCTGGAGGTGATGCGAGAGAGCATTAAGGCTCTAAACAAGGAGGAACCGCCTCTACCCTTGCCACCCCCACCAGAGCCACCTCGCAGCAACAACAGGGAGGTAATAAACGAGTTGGCGGAAATTCGCAGATCTCTGGGCGCTCTGGAACACCAGAAGAAGACACCGCCAGAACCGGGCGTCCTACCAGTGGCCATTCTGAATATGGACAAACATGGCAGAACAGGTCTGATGAGTCCTTTTCAAGTACGCGACGCTGGCGGTGAATCTGCCAGTAGCGAAAGCTCGGACGAGTCGGACAGCGAGTCCCCAAGGCCCCGAAGAAGGTGCCGACGCGCCTCCAAGTGCAAGTTCAAGAAACGCAAATGCTGCAAGAATCAGTGTCGTCTAGATAGGCAGCAGAACTGCAATGTCATGGAGGATATTGACCGTAAACAGCTGCAGTGTAAGATGTCAAAAATGAATGACAGGGAGTGTAAACAGCTAGCACGCATTTTGGACGTTCTGGACGGTGGGGAGGAGATTGACAGGGAGGATGAGGAGATCCTACGCGAGATTAAGCGTTCCCAGCAGGGCTTTCCAGACTGTGGCCTGCAAGATGCCATGGGGGTCCCTCCGACGGCTTGGAGACAGTCGGTAGCACCGCCAATGCAGCCGCCCCCGCCTATACCCATGATGCCTCGATGGTACCCTTCGATGCCGCCAATGCCAATGCCAATGCCGGGTTCCTTCGCGCCGAACTCTGGCATGCCAAAGTCGTTCATGCTGAGCTTTGCAGAGGGCGGAAAGGAGTGAAGCAGTCAGAACCACCACCGAAAACCCTCCCCCTCCCCCGCCAATGCGGGAAAATCACACATGTCTAACATCTGGTTTCTCCTTTCACGCACTGACGCTTTATGTTTGGATTTAGTTTTAGATCAATTTCAGAAGGCCTCATTTTGGTGCCTCAGTTCTCCAACAATTTCCTGCTTTTATTCCTCTAGTGCCCTCATAGGATGACAGTAGAATTTGCGGGTATACTAGAATGTTGGGAACGTAAACCCAGGACGTAACTTCTTCCAATCCAAAATCAGGTCTCCTTTACTTCGCTTCATGCACTCCTTTATGGGGTTGCCACCTTAAAATGAAGGCTTCCAGTAACCGCAGACTTACTGAAGACTGTAATGACAGATGGGCACTCACCGATCAGGTTACGGAACGTGCTTGTTCCATTGTGTCTTGGGGCTCATATACTAGAACCTTCACAGGCCTCGCACAACGTTTATTAGAAGAAGCAAATGACATGAGTGCCCATCTGTCATGATTGATATTTCCGATCACAACCGACAGGGCAACGGACCCATGGCTCGATGGTAGACTGTCAAATTCCATGACAAAAGATCCCGGGTTTGAATCTCAAGTGGTCCACACTTGGGGTTGGGTATGACTGGCTGATGATGACCAATAAGCCGGAAATGGCCACTCCGGTCTCCCTTGTCTTTGTCGGTGCGATGAAGACTCTTCACACTATATCTGAAAGCGTTTTGGTGTTGCGGCCTAAATGCGGTGGCTGGTAGCCAGCGCCCGTAAGAGTCACCGACTAGGGCGGGCTGGAAGCGCTCCAGGTGTAGGCTGTCGATCCACCAATCTGCGACTTGCCTCAAGGCCTGCGCAACCTGCGGGTAACGTGATTGGACGTATGGGATGGCGTGGGTCTACATCGACGGGGCGCATGTACATGGGTGAGTACAGGCCCTAGCGGCGGGGCTGTAAAATTCCAAACAAAGCAGCTCACTACTTACAGTAGGTGTGCTAACTCATGAAATGTTAACCTAAATTCTGAATTGCGTTCCCGTTTCGAAAAGATTACTTAAGTAGGGTTGTAAAATTAATCATTGTGAAGCATAATTTTATAATAATTCAGTTACCTCAGGATATTGGCTTTCGACCGAACTTCTTTCCGGCCACATGCAAAAACCACACTCTGTATAAAATGACTACTAATGTAGCATGGATTGTCCTCATTGATTTTAGATACCCTTAAAAATGCAATTATATTTTATGGAAAACATGCATAAAACATCGATTCACTTAGTCATTTAGTGAAATATTACGTCTTCCAATGTTATACTCGAAAAAGAGTATAATTCGGTTTTCAGAATGTTTCTTATGATGAGATTTTATAATACCGTGAAATGCCCGTTCATAAAACATTGTGCCTCTGCATTTGCTAATCTGGCTGGTAAAGTTTACAATATGACGCAAACGCACTGCCAAATTTTATAAACCCCGTGTTGTCCCCCTCTTTATACCGTAGGAAAATGTACGGTATACGGAAAATATATGGTTTGGCGTTTGGAAACCCTGAATGCAAGTTCGACGGTAGATCGGATTCAAAAATATTCGGGAATAGGAAACGCTTTTGAAAACCGAATTATATCTATTTTCGGGTATAAGAGTTAAAGAAGACGTAATTATCTACCGAATGAGAAAAGGAAGCAATATTTTTATGCATGCTTTCCATAAAATATAATTGAATTTTTAAGGGCACAGAAAATCAATGAGAAAAAATCATGCTACTTAAATAACCATTTTTGCAGTGTGGTTTGCTAATAGAAGCGAAGAGACGAGTCCCAGGAGGTAGTCTTGAAGAAGGAGACAAGATCGCTGGGACAAGAGCTTTATTAGCCTGGCGTTTCGGATTCCTGCTCGAATCCACCATCACCGACAAAAGCAGATACGGGTGGTTCATGCATAAGGGGCTGCAGTATTTATAGGATGCAGTGGCCATGCTACTGCATACCTATGAATATTCACGGCCCCCTCCACCCCCTTCATCAGGGATCGTTGCACTTGGTGTGCTGACTGATTGATGGCCGACATTCGCACCATTAATTGCTGCAATTTCACAACGTGCGTCGGATTTTGTTGTGATGATTGCTCGACCACCTGATCCACCGACCCTGGAGTTGAAAAAAGTGTTCACCTGTGCGCTTCCCGCGTGGCTAATTACTCCGTCTAGGCGAAGTTGCAGCACTGAGTATGGAATGGGATGGTCATTGCACTTGTTAATGGACTGGGAGGCAGTAAACCATGACTCGAGCAGCTCCCAGCTCACGCGGTTGTCAACTCTTGCAAGAATTTCGGTCTCGTCGAAGTTGAATGTGTGGCCGGAACCCGTCGAATGAGCCGCAACTTGAGAGCTGGCGTCATTTCTCCGCACCGCTGCAGCGTGCTTAGCCATTCACGTTCGAATCTGTCTTCCGGTTTCCCTGACGTAGTTGCTTTGTCCGCAGCTGACCAGATCCGATAAACGACTCCAGACGTTTCTAGCCGTGTCAGCGGGTCATTCGGTTTCATCACCTGACGCCTGATGGTTGCCTCCGATCTGTGTGCAACTCCAACGCCAAGTGGTGCGAGAAGGCGGCCGACGGTTTCCGAAACGTTCTTGACATACGGAAGCGCTCGTGCGGTTAGGTCTTACGTCTCTTTTGTGTATGCACCGGTTGACGAAGTTGCGCGGATAGCCATCGGCTTTGAAGATCCGTCGGAGGTATTGTAGTTCGGCAATCTTGTCTTCCGGCTGCCTGCAGTGCGGTTAAACACGCCGATAGAGCGTCCTTACACAACTGCGTTTGTGGCTGATTGGGTGGTTGCTGTTGAAGTTCAGTACTTGCATCGTATTTGTCGCTTTCCTGAACACTTTGGTCTTTAGTCCACCACAATCTCTGCGGCATACGAAGACATCCAGGAAAGCCAACTGGTCGTTTTTCTCTTCCTCCATCGTAAATTGGATGTCCGTGAAGATGGCGTTGGGATGTTCTTTGAATTCCATCACTCGATCCCGTTCGATGACGACGAAAATATCATCCATATACCGAACACGGAATTTCGGTCTGTGGTGTTGGAAAACCAGCGACTCCAACCGTTGTAGGACTGCCTCGGCGATGAACCCCGAAATCGGCGAACCCAGTGGTGTGCCCTTCACCTGTTCGTAGATTGTCCCGTCGAATGTGAAGTACGTCCTGAGACAGAACTTCAGGAGCTGAAGGACTTGGACGTGTCCAAGACGATTCTCCGTTTCATCGTATTTGCTTTGTGGAAGCAGATCGATTGTCTCGCTCGCCAGATTCTGGTGAATAGAACATCAAAAGATATCATGACCTCATTTGGATGGAGGCCTACCACTTTGAGTTTCGGCAGGAATTGTGCTGACTAAGAGACCGTGGTGTCTGACTCAGCGGCCAGGAAGTTGAGACGCCGGAACAGCCACTTAGCCAGTCCGTACGTTGGAGTCCCTTTGAGCGACACGATGGGTCGGAGAGGAGCGCTGTCCTTGTGCACCTTAGTGAGGCCATAGAATCGGGCCAAAGCCGTATCTTGGGGTCTCGCCATGCGTCTGTCGGTCGGTTTTATTACACCCGAGTTCTCCAAGGCCAACAACGTAGCATTAATTCCGCGTGTCAGCGCCTTTAAAGGGTTCGTTGCACATGGGACATAGAACTGTCGGTCCTCCAGTAAGCCTTTAGCTTTTTGAAGGTAGTCTGTCTTGTCCAGTACTACTGTGGCGCGTCCTTTTTCCGTTGGCACGATGACCAGGTCTTTGTCGGCCTTGAGTTCTCTAAGCGCATCACGTTCGACCTTGGAAAGCACTTCCCGCGGCCTGTGGGCCATCAGGAGAGACGACACTTGGTGTCGGATGAGACTCTTAGTCTCCTCCGTTGCCTCCGTCTGACAAGGGATTGATTCCACTGCTGCAATCGTGTTAACTGGTTTGGCACATTTCGGGAGTTTGAATACGTCCGAGGAGATTATCATTTTCGTCGCATTGTGTCTCTACGACCAACTTACTCCATAGACTGATAAATTCCCTCTGCTGCCAGGAACGTCAGATTATTTTCGCATGCCAGCTGAGTTGTGGCGCCGAATAAGTTTGGGACAGTGAACTTGCAATCACTCATTACATTCTTGGCCTTCTGGATGTGCTCTGATCTGCCCACTACGACACCGAAACTGTGCCTCATGATGGGTTCGAGTGAGAATACAAAACGTCAGGCCAATTAATGTATTGTTCCAGTGATCGCATCTTTGTCTTCTGAACTGGAACTTACCTTGTCCAGGGAGGCGACAATGAGGTCGTTGTCGAGTTCAATTTCCACTACTTCACTGCGTCCGACCTCGGGAAGTCATGATGAGTCATTAAACCTGTTTTCAAATTCGCTTCTTCATATATTCCGTCGTCTTCGTCCAATAGGCTTCCGACCCCCTGCTGCGGTAATGTCGGCATAATCGGTATCAACTTTGTTGAATGGGGCTTTGCTGAAATTTCTGCTCACACAGCATCCTATTACTGATGTCCCTCATAAAGCATACTACGTAGTCCATATGCACTGTAAATTGGGCCCTTGTAACCTGTCGCGCGGCAGACGAACTGGACTAAGGGGGGTGGGAGGGCTGAGTCAGGGTTCAGCACGCGATATTAGACTGCTCACTCATGACAAATGCCATATATGGGGGATGGTCTCGACTAAATATTCCACCTCGCCTGCTATTTGCCGACACCACCAGACCAGGGTTGCGGATAGTCTGGGTTCCCACAAACTCCGAAACATGCGTAGTATTTCTTAAATCAACAATAATTTCCGAGTACACTGAAGCCCTAAACAGTCGCATAGTTGTTGTCTCTAGCGTTTTGGCTCAAAAACCTAACGACAGGCCAGCGATGGCAGGCAAACAGTTCCGTCATCTGACTTTGCAGTATTTTAGAAGACGTGTCGAATCCATCATCATCCAGAATCCGAAACGTCAGGCGAATAAAGACCTTGTTCCGACGATCGTTTCTTCTTCTGATCAACTAGTTCCTGGAACTCGCATCTTCGCTTGTATCGGTATCTAGATTGACTCATCGGCACCTCGTAGCGGACTCGAAATAATTCACTGACGTCTTATCGGCGGTCGGCGCCAATCAGGTGGGCGAGCAGTGCGCTAAAAATGTACTTTCACATACCAAGCGGGTTAGTGATCACGCGTCAATTTGGAAGAGAATAATTGCCAGACGTCAACAGACTAAAAGGTCAGGCACGGATGGTCCCACGCCAAATTCCGGGAATGGCACCTATTCCCACGTCCTAACAACAACTTTAATCCTAATCCTAAACTTGATCCTAGCCATATCTTAACCCTAAGCTCACGCCAACTCCAACCCTGTCCTTAATCCTACTCTCCCTGGCGTTTATATCAAGGCCACCTGTGTCGGGGGGATCCCAGTCCGATATCTTACTGATGATGATTGAAATAAAGAAGAACGAAAGATTGTTTCAAAAGGATTCTCCAAGTAGAATGACGCCTAAAAAGCGGATATCTAGAAAAATCATAGCCTAATAGTACTGCTAACTGCAAATAAAAAATCACTGTGACAAAAGACTATGTTTGCCATTCGTTTCAGCATTTTAGGCTAAAATACAATCTGTCAGGCTTACATGAAATAAGTGTGGGACCATCCACTGTCTGATATATCCTAAAACAAGCCCTATTCCTTCATCGACAAGCCCAACACTGTTAGGAATTGTAGGTCGGTTTAATTCAACTTTAAGTGGGGAACAGCTGCCTCCGCTGAGATATAGTTTTGTTTCAGGAAATACGACTTGGGACATGTTCGACCATCACCGAATACATCAATTCATCCGATTTTCCCTGAACAGACGGTTTGGTCTTTTCGAGCGCGGAAGTCCATGACTGGCTCGAGGGCACAGTGGTGATTTATGATGAACTTACTGAAAGTGAAGCCATGAGACTGGGCGAGAGACACGTAGGCATTCCACTCCCCTCCCCATTCCCCTGCGGCTAAATGGTGCAGTTCGGTTTGCCAGCCAAGGATGCACATGATTGCAGGATCACTGGATTATTTCAGTATTTGGCAGCTTCCCGAGACGAGGATTTTTGTACGAACTGACAGTTCGAGAACAAGCCAGGTCTGCTGTATGGTGAAAATTCGCACACAATTGTCTTATTCACCCTACTCCCTCCACCCTTATAACCTAGTGTGAATTGCAGGGCAGGCCGACTTGAAATTACAAGTTGTCTTTATAATTTAAGGTCTTGCACAACCAAACAACCGCAATAATTATATTTCCTGGTGGCGCAGGCAAGAAGCCGTAGCATCTGAAATGTTAAGCAACCATATTCTTATTTTCAAAATACAATATTTTCATGAATTTAACGTCCCCTGCCCCATTGGCAATGTATAGTTGGTCTTTTTACGTTGCAGATTTTCTCTCCTCCGTCCCGAGTTGTATTACGAAACCTAGGAGAACGTGATCAGCGTAAAAGACAGTACCTTTTCGAAGTGCGACGGCGCTTTCGGATTTTTTGGGCGACAGTTCAAACGGTGGCAAGTGAGTTAAAATAGGTTAGGAAATACAAAATCTACAGATGTGCATATCATGTACCATGTCCTCCGTGTAGTTGTGATCGGCCGGGTAATTCAGGCAGTGGTAAACCCTCCAGAGAGAGAAAGAGCTTTTTAAGGAATTCTATCAACTCATGTTGGTCGCCAAAGAAATATGTTCTGTAATGCCCAGGTTACCTGTGGGCTTTACTTCGTCTAAACTAATATCCTACGAAGGTGATTGGTGTTCGTCGTCAACGGAGATGGCTACAGACATGTTCACTTCCGAGTTTTTGTTCATGAAGCTCAAAGACACTCAAACAGTCGAATTGTCAATAAGCAATATCAAAACCAACTCGTCAACGTCTGAACGCTTATTAAAAAGGGAATATGAAGAGGGCAGTAAGTCACAAGTTATTCGACCGGGGAAAAACAGGGACGAAAACTTCCTTCAGTCTATTCTTTCTCGAGTTGAGTTGTCGGGACTCATAACTCTTCCGTTAGGGCGTCAGGTTCGTGCTCCGTCGCAATCGCCTCAAAGGAATCTGAATGTCCTCAGCGAGGCGTCAAAAAAATTAAAACAAACCTAATTAAAAATGTCCGCACTTTACAATCTGAGGTATTCCTTACGCATTTTCAGATTAGCCATCATATGATTGGTCCATTTTTGACCTGGTAATCAATATCAAGGGGCGAAGCCACGTGATAGGTTGCAGACGTCGAGGCGATCTTGACTCAGATATCAAGTAGAAATGAGGAAAAAATTGATCTAACCTTCTGGCCCATGACATTCTGAAGCTCGTTTTTGCCCTAAAGATCCTACTATCCACTGTCTCCGTAGGACAAATTTATATTTGGATTACCCTGTTAACTCAATGGCTACGAAAATAACCTCGTGTTAAGATAGCACATTAAGGCTTGAGATGTTCTCGACCAGGAGTTCACATAAGTCGCGAAATCTGGCTTTGAACGATGGGGCCCCCAGTAGCAAGAGACGTACTTTGAAGCGTCGAAATGCTGCTTATGTGGACTTCAACGATGATTCCACGATTTCCTCGTCCCTCGTTCAAAAATTCAAAACATCCTCAAATGCCGAGAATTATCGCCAGGGGGGCGACAAGTCTAAACATCTGGAAGTTCTTCGCAAAAGTCTTCAATCCCTTGCAAACGAAATTCACAACGACAGTAAGGAACTCACCTCCCTGATAAAAGAGTCCCTAAATCGAGCTGATTCGAATATCGACATTGCCAGCAAGGAATCACCAGCACTACCGGCATCAGAGGAACTCAAAGAGTTGAAAGATACGATCAGGCAGTTGACCAAGGGCGTGAGCTCGGAAAACAAACAGATTAAGTCGCTTCTGCAGGATTCCCTGTCGAGCCACAACAAGTCTTCATCTGGAAGCCACAATCTCATGGTAGCCCACTCTGATGAGAAGCCCACACTTGGACTTGCCGAAGATCCGGAGAACTCCCTTGTTCGTCGAGCCCTGGACGAAGTGAAGGATAATGTCAACAATCTCGGTCGGGTTTTTCGTGAACTCCTTGGACGTCGGACAGCGGATGCAGCAAACTGTTCTGTTCCAGCACACCAGAACACACCAATTACCGACCAACTGAAGCTTCACGCGTGGGGCGCCCAAAGAAGCCCGACCCTCAGCGGGATACAGCTGTCATCTGGCGGCCAATCCCAAGCCACCTTTAAGACGGATGAGTTGGCTGCACCCAAGGCACCGTCCTCGGCCACTGATTCCATCCTCCTCGAAGCTCTGGCGGTGATGAAAGAGAGCATCATGGCCATGAGTAAGGTGTCGACTTCTGAGGTAGCAGCCAACAGAACGCCAAACAAAAACACTGAATTGTCCAACGCGCTTTCTGAAATTCGCAAATGTCTGCAGACTATTGAGGAACTGAAAAGTCGTCGGTCTGAAAAGCCAATTGTTCTAGATGCTTCAGTGGCAGCAACAACTTCTGTCGAACCGAAAGCAACCCCAGTGAAGTTTACTGCTCACAGTCATGATAAGAGAAAAAGGAACCAACATCGGAAGAAAGCCTCGCATCACAAGAGACACCGTAAGTCAAGCAGTGAGGAGAGCGAAGACGACTCAGATGAAGATGAGGGTACCGACGATGACGAGGATGAAAGTGATGGGGAGGATGATGATGATGAGGAGGAAGACGGTGAGGATAGTGAGGAGGAAGAGGACGATGATGATGAAGAGGAGGTGGAGGAGGAGGAGGAAATGGAGCCCCTTCCGCCACGCAGACGCTCAAAGACCCTCAAAATGACTAATCATAGGAGTAAAATCAAAGTAGAGGAGAAAAAGAATCGAGGAAGCAAGCATCACCATGCCGACGGGGACGCCCAGAAGACTGTTGAGGACATGAGGGTTCGTCGAAGGTTACAGTTGAAGATACCTCCCCCCAGAGTGGCCGATAAGGCCTGTCAGAGGCCGTCCTGTCAACAGACCGCAGGATACTTTACTGCACCAACAGCGCCTTTGGGAATGAGCTACTGGATGCCTCAACCCCCGGCCCTCTACTCTCCCTTCACACCCCGGTGGTACGCCCCTACGACAGCGGTACAGCCGTCCACGGCACCTAGTGTGACCAACAACAGTATGTCGCGTTCAGCCTCCTATGATTAATGAGTGGCTGTGAAGCCGACTGCCAGACCATCAGGTCAATTGGAGAGTACACAAGAGGGCTCCAAACTGCTCGCCAACACACGTCCACTTCTGTTTAGTCAGTCACTTGTCATTTTGTTCACATTTTCATTTTTACAACTCTCCCTTGGTCTCGTTTTTTTAATCAGCAAGGCAGTTGCCTTGTAAGTCTCATTTGTTTCGGTTCGATCATCTGCATATAACCATTTCAAAGCCCTCCTTGTGCAGCCGCCTCTTCAAATCTACAAGGTGGAGGGAGGGCCTTGTAGTCGTATCACCACCACCACCACCACCACCACCACCACCACCACCACCACCACCACCACCATCATCATCATCATCATCATCATCATCATTGGTAGCAGCAGTGGCAGTGCCTTTTGCGTAACACGCACATTGGTCCTTCGATGTGAACTGGGCTCCCCAAAGGAACTATCGTTATTATCACAAAGTAAGATCTTGAAGTGGGGCTGAGATAATCTAACTCTCAATCCAGACGCTAAGGGCCATGAGAAAACGGACGATGGTCAGGAATTCGTGAGGTGAGTCAGGTAGATGCACAACGCAGAACTGCCGTTGGTCTGGAATTAATGCCTTGTCTGGAGAGATCCTTGTTAAGGGTGTCGAGTGAAAGGGTCTTAGGGTTCGGCCAATCGAATCTTTACAGTCTCATTAGCTTTTTCCTTTGTCTCGTCAGTTTCACTGTCTGAAAAATTTCCTCTTCCTTCACGCTCCTTTGGCCGGAGAGAACAGATTTCGGCAGACCAGATTCCTTCAGATTTTCTTTGTTCCTGCGCAAAGAAAAGTGGATGCCTTTTGAAGACAACGGGGTACTACGCTTCTTCGAATGGCGTAATTATAACTGAGTCAGATTTTAGTAGGGCTGACTTACGTGTTCTCCTAGACATGCGCATAATTCCGGAAGGAGCGAAATATGCTCGTGTTCTAACCCCATCAATAACCCTAATGTAGAACTAAACCTTTGCCCTAATCATGATCCTAACCGCACCCTAAAGCTTGACTCCGCAGTTAAAAATAGCCTCTACCTTAACCCAAAACCTGATCCTGACCTACCTTACAGTTGAATTTGAATCTAGCTTCCAATCTGATCCTTAACCTAACCCCAAACCGGACCGTAAATGTCCTTATTTCATTAGAAGTTGGTTCAAAGCCACCCGTATTGTAGGCGGTTTCCGTTCTCCTGTCCTGTGTAGGGAGCCACATAAATCAGTCCTACTCAGATTTTCGTTCGACCAGCATTCCCGATCCGGCACCGCATAGCGGATGCCTTTCGGCAGGACATACGTGAGAATCAGACGTCTTCACTCTCACATCCGGGTCTGGCCAAGAACTGCAAACAACGTTGATCCGGGTCATGTGTTTGTCGTGGACCAGGGGGTAGGGTGCTGGAGGCCAGCACTAGAGTCCCGTTAGTAGTTAAATAGCGGCCATAATGGGGTAGGACTGGCTGGCATAACAAGCCAGACGTGACCATCTCGCACGGCGACTAGTTTGGGTTCCCGCAGATGATATTGTAACGCACATGAAAAACTAATGCAAACATTGGGGATGTAGTAGCACGCACGGGTACAGACCCACGTCGCGACGGTGGGGATCCCAGTAGCCACTGATTTTTTCGTTGTGTTAACTTCTGGTCAGTGTACGTTTTGGATCAGCGGAGTAGGGTAGTACGCCTAGGTGCGGGTTTTCTCTGTACCAGCTACCTGCGCCCTCTTCCACCCCCCGGTCTCCTGGGCTATGTCTTGACACCGGGTTCAGGCTGGGGAAGGCGGAGAGAGTGCGGTAGCTGTTGCACAAGTCTACTAGCACTATAAATTAATCCACGCCAAGTCACTGTCCCTGCCCTTACCCTGACGTGGAGCACACGGTGGCCATCGTCGGCAACGACGGTCGAACTGTCAGTAACATCGCTGGCGCTTTCACTCACCAGTATATTATTGATCACTCTCAAACCTCGGAGTGGTGCAGGCTACCTTGGAAAGATGGTCTACGATCGGCAGGGTGAGAAGCATTCCGCAGCCTCCGGGCCTAGCTCGCATGTCCCTAGAAGTAACGACAGGGAAATTTCACTGCGTGTTGAAAAGTTAGTCTTGTAGCTCGGAGAGAAGGTTTTCTTCCGCCTTAGGGTGGAGAGCATAGAACATTTCCCTTGGTGAACGAGGTGGCTCCATAGCCACGCTCAAGGTCATGCACGTTGGATGCATGTTCTGGGACGTCAGCAATCCGTGCCGCGATCCCCATCAGATTGATGAGCGCACCTCTCATTGCCTACGTGAGTGCTCCCGATTGCAGCTAGCAGAATATGAAGCAGAGGCTGGGACTCAGACAAACTGAACCCCTGTTCGAATTCCGGACCTGCCGGTCTGAATACGTGTAGCGGTCAGAAAGGACCCATTTGTTAATAGAAGCGACGAGGCGAGTTCCAGGAAGTAGTCCGGAAGAAGGAGACATGGTCACTGGAACGAGAGTTTTATTAGCCGGACGTTTCGGATTCTCACTCGAATCCATCATCAGATACATAGGGATAGTGGGTTGCCCCGATGTTGCAGTATTTATAAGGTGTAGTTGCTATCACAGTCCGCAAATCGACTGCTTGCAGTGGGCGTGGGAGCTGATAAGCTTGACTGGCATACAGTCTCATAGCAACTGCGTGGCAACGGCATACTTCAGCACCTGACCAGTCGAACCGTGATGCACTCGGGAGCTGCCAACCGTGATACGGTTTTAATGGCCTGGCAACCACATCCTATAAATACTGCAACACCTGGGCAATTCACCACCCTTACATGACTCTGACTCTGATGATGGAGTCGAGTGAGAATCCGAAACTTCAGGCTAATACAGGTCTTGCTTTAGCGATGGCGTCACCTTCTTCGCAAGGACCCATTATTCGAAATCTGCCATCTAATAGGCGTCGAGCTGGTTCATTAAATATGGCGCCGTGTTGTCTCTAAAGACTAAAACAATAAATTAATATATTCCCCTGGTGGAGCTGGATGCCAGCAAATATTTACTACATTCTTTTAATTTGCCTACTAGTGATTTTACGCAGGAGAATTCCAGTTAAACAGGAACAACAAAATATCTGCGTTTTCACGTTTTATTTCGAATTTACGCGGTGGCCTTCTTGCCAAGATTTTTCGACATCAGCCAGTCGAAACCGCCTTCAGACAAAAATGGACGATATACTTTTAATTTTCCAACGTGGTGTTTATGGAAACGATTTTCTGAAACGAAATACGCATAGTTTTGCTTCTTTTAGCACTTCAATCGAAAATGCCACGAGTTGCGATGCTTTATTCTACAGGTTATTTCTCAAACCAAAACAGTCACACGATTTTTTGACCCCAGACAATGGACAAGTCAACTTCTTCAAAATCTTCTCTCTAGTCTTGTCATTTACAAAAGATATTAGATTTTACTGGGAATGCTTTGTCTGAAATCACGATGTCGCTAAGATTAATTTTTACATTATAGTATATGTCCTATTAGTTTTTGTTTCTTTCTTCTTCTTCTTCTTCTTCCTTCCTCTTTTCTTCTTTTCTTTCTCCTTTTCACTTACTAACTTCGACATTTCCCTTTTCCGTCGGTTCAGGTTAGATCTTAGGCTGCGCCGCTAAGTTTTAACCTATAATATTAAAGTCGAGATGTCGTGGTGTTGGCGGAGCCGATCGCTGTGGCCGACATCTCGCTGTCCTTCACCGAAAGGACGACTTCCGACGTTCCATCATCTGCTACCATCACCACTAGCGCCCCCATCTCTAACAATGTGGACTCGGTCTAAACCTGTTCTCATTACGATCGCATATTCAACTACCACATCAACCTAGTCGGTCACTTGAGAATCCATCGCACGGAGACTGGCAAACCCGTGCCTGGAGCCTCCACGTAAATTTGACGCCTAGGCCTCAACTGCCCTCACTGCTCCCGGACACTTAGCCACCGCATGGGCCGATTAGGTTACATTCGCACTCGCGAAACCTGCGGCAGACAACCTCCGGCTACATCCCACATCCCCCACCGGCACCTGCACCACACAGCAGAATCACCCATCGCCACACAACACAAGCACTCGACTGACACCTCTCATCTAACTGGGAAGTGTGATTTACGGCTCCTTCCCCGTGTGGCTCCTCTGTTACATGTGTGGTCCGAGCCCGAGACTATTAGGGTACGCCAAGCGCCGTGGCTTGGAGGTTTGCCGACCGATGCCTCAACTCAGTCCACGCAGTCTACCTAGTTTTTTGTTTTTGTGTGGAATGGCGGGCTGATTGGCCAGGGTTAGACTGCAGCAGCTCCTTTTTAACGTGACCTCTGGCACTCTCACGCGTGCGAGGAGTGTATATATATATAGATATGAGTAATTCTTCTCAGTCGATGGCTGACTGACTACGTCTTACCCTCCTGGACTTTAAGAATCGTCTGCTATGCCACGATTCAGCAAACCATGGCCCTCGGAGCCTGGTGTGCACTGGCAGCTCTCTAGCACCTGGCTCCCTGCTGACGAATGCGTTTGCGCTCCCGTTGGGGACACAGGTCGTGTGCATGATTGCCTAGTGACTAATGTCAGCCTTCCCTTTCAGACACATTTTTGTTGTTGATTAAAGTCCTGGTCAAGTGCTTGTGGCGGGTGTGGTGCTACGCCTAGGTACGAGTCCGACCACCTACGGCCTCTTCCGCCCTTGGTCTTCTTGACTATGTCTTGACACCGATCTCAGTCGGGGAAGGATAGAGTGCGACAGATGCTGTGAAAGTCCACTACCGCTACAAACCAACTCATGCACAATTTACCGTGCCTGCTCTCATCTTGCTGTGGAGTACGCGGTGGACAACGTCGGAAACGACGGTCGAACCGTCAATATTGAAGTATTTTCATTGAAATAAGCACGTGCTTTCAGCTGGCCGGTTCTCATCGGCGGAGAGCGGATCGATAAAAGTACACTGGACTCGGAAGCGTGTAAAGGTTTGCGGTTAGTCAACGCGCAACAATGATTTTCTAATTGCATGGGTGAACTTTGGGTTTTGTCCCTAAAGGCGAATCTGTGCATGACGTCGTGCTTTGTAAAGGTGCAGTAAAGTGCGCGAGTTCACTGCATCTATGTTCTCTATGCTACTAGAAAATAAACACTTTGATCTTATTAGGTAAATGGAAAAAATCGTGTGGTCTTCAGTATTTAAAAGCAAATCATGCCAAGTGCCTTCAGAGGAAGTTTCATTAGCCAAATTAATTATTTTTACAACCTGCAACGCTTTCCAAATGAGATACAGATTTGCAAGTCGCATCTTTGCAGAAAATCGTGTTTAAGAAGCAAAAAATCTACCAAACTCCGCTTCGACCGCCTCTTTGTTGCGAAAGTGTCTTTTTTACACATGATCATCTTGTGTTAAGTAAAACTGTTAAGCAGTTAGAGGACTGTCCGAGGAATAGGTGGTGGGAGAGAGGGCGAAATAGAATTTTCCGTCACAGCGCACAACTGCTTCCCAGATGGGTCTAGCAAGAACGATATCTTCTCTCGATTATGTAGTCCTGGTCGTTTTTGAAATAGCGAATCCTCGGCACCTTCCAACTGCGTGAAGTAGATCTCAGCCTTCGTTGTTTGGCTTGCGTAGAAGAGAGAGAGAGGACTGCTTTATTTTGAAAATAACTTTCAAAACTTTCAGCAAAAACGGTTCTCCAGTACACAGTGATTTCCATAGAGATTAACAGGTTTTGGACAGACAGGTGGACATGATTATATAAGGATCTTTAAGGTGCAAGATCGAGTTTTAGTTTTTGTTTTTCAACATCTTTGCAGGTGAGATACCGGGCTAGAAATGGCTGTATGGAATTCCGATAGGCCGAAGTGCGGCAAGGGATGTGGCGGAAGCATCGACGCGTGGGGCGTAAGGATTTCGCAGCCATTAACTCATTATGAAGGGGATGGACGGTGTCATTCAGAATTCGGTCAGCGAACTGCTCCACCGAGTTGAAATGTCGCTGCACGATGATATCAACTAAAAGATGATAGGAAACACCAGCAGCAGAGGCGAGCATTCGAATGACACATTTAAAAATAATTAGATCTTTTTTAAGTAAAGCTGGAAAAATAACTGGAGAACAATAAAGAATGAGTGGAAGAATACAGCCATCTATGAATCGCCAGATTAAGGACTGGGGTGTGTGATATGAACGTAGACGATAGTGGACAATACTGGTAGAACGGTGTGCTGTAGGATCATTTGAGGACGATCAGCGAGGGATCCATTCGTCCTTACGCCAGAGAATCAATTTTTCATCATGGGCAAGCCAACAAACTAGTGGACTCTGAAGCCTGTCATCATTTACTTACGGGACCCATTTTCCTAGCTTATCTGGCTTTTCTAGTTAATGTAAGTCTAAATAAATTGTTTCGTCACCCAAATAAAAATTGTAGGATCCTCAATACGACGTTTTCAAATTTTTTCAACGTCTCATGACTTTTCCTCGCCAATAATGGAGGGCCTTCCTGAAAGTGCTCCAGCGTCGAGGCATTTTTAACCAAGCGAAGCTTTTTCAAGCCACTTGTTCCTCAGAACATCTCCAGATTGTAGACATATTCTACGGCATGGTTCTACGAACTTCTGCTCAAATGTAAATCCGTATAGCAAGCATGCTTGCATTACACTCGGTTCAAAGGACATTCTGGTGGGATCTCAGTTCGTAGCCGTACCTGCAGTAGACAAGCTCCGGCGCAACCCCAACCCTGATTCCAATCCCTAACCTTAACCCCTAACCCCAACCCCTATCCTCGAACCCCAACCCCTAACAGGAACGGTTACGAAATAAGGTTTTGCCGGCATTTTGAAGAAAAACATGAGCTCACCGGAACGGGTTTATTTAGGTGCTGACTTTTCAAAGAGCTTAGTCGGCTTCCCTTTGGCAAAGCATAAAGTGCACTTAATCGACCAGGAATGCCAGGTGGCATGTCGCGTTGGTCGACCCCGTGTTGATCGATTTTTATCTTCTCTCGCTGCCTCAGCCTCTCGGGGGATGGTTGGCTGGCGTTTTATCGGCGTGCTTTGTGAGTCAACGCTTCATGGGGGGAGGTGATTAGACCTTTGTCGGGCGGTTGGTCTGGTGTTTCATTTTTTTCTTTTTTTCCTCAGCGAGTATACTCGCCGTCAGGCTGTCTCTGTACGGCCTTCTTAAGTCCAGTGTGGTTACTGAGTTTTGAACTCTATAGACGTGATAACGTAGGACTTTGTAGGCTGCAGGAAGGTCCAGATCCCCTGTTGATGGATTTTCCATCGGAGTACCAAGCCTCGAGTGCTAAACGTTTTGCTTTTGATTTGGCCCTGCCGAAAGTATGAATAGTTTCCCCAATATGCGTTGCAAATTGGGGAGTTTGGGTCTAGCCTCCGAGCAGTGGGGTCTGCAATTTCCGCCTCGTTTCCCTAACATTGTTGCAGTCGCCTTCATTTCAATTTATTTTGTAAACAACTCATAAGGTTTCAGGGGGTGGCATTGTGTCCTTCGGTTGCATCAGACGGCACCGCAGTGTTGCCTGTGGTCGAAGGGCCATGCCTACTCGGACGGATTGTAACAATCGAGATACCGCCTCGGAGACCCCTTTTATGCAGGGAACGACCCTGCAGACTTCGAGTTGCTGGTCATTTGGCAGTCGCCTGTGCGCTCGGCGTCTGCCTCTCGATAAGATGTCTAGGATAATCATTGGCTGCAAAGAGGTACAGTCATTCGACTCTTTTATCTTCCGGCGTGCTACAATGTGTTCTGACTTTTTGGAATAGATTGCGGACACAGCTACGTTGGTGAGACAGAGGATGATTGATGTTGAAGTGTAGGATTTACCTCGTGTCGGTGGATTTTCTGAATACTGTGGTTTACAGTCGTCCAGTTGCACACCGGCTCACAAGCAGGTCAAGGAAGGACAGTTGGTCGTTTGTTTCTGCTTCCATCGTGAATTGGATGTCCGGGTCAGCCGAATTCAGTAGTTCCTTTATGTGCTCAACGTCAGTTGTTTTGACAACGGCGAAGTTGTCATCGACATAGCGAGCCCAAAATTTTGGTTGACACTTGGTGAGCACCAAGTGTTCTATCTGGTGAAAAACAACTTCAGCAATTAGGCCTGACGGAGGGGAGCCCATAGGAGTGTCTTTCATTTGTTCGTGCATTTGTCCACCGAAGGTGAAATAGGTCTTGAAGCAGTGTCGAGGCAGCCCGAGCAGATGTTCGGATTTCAGGAGCAGAAACCAAGAGAGGATGCAACGACGAAGTGCTCAAGTTTATTGGCGCATGTTTGTTCTATGTGACACACCTTAATAAACGAACCGATAATTATCAACAAGCTTCACTAAGTCATTTCGCCTAACTATAACGCAGACTATACGAAAGTTCTGGTCCTGGTTTCCGCTATAAAGGAAATTATATTGTTGAATAATATGCAATGGCGGTTAGCGCAAATAATGTAACAAGTTAACTAAGGGCTGCTTTCAAGTCGAATAGATCAGGCTCGATGATCCACTGCCTTTTCGACTACACCCCGCTGGCATTCTGACGTCACGAGGCCCTGTCGACCGAGCCATTAAATAAACCGGCTAATTTTTCGCCACAAGGCCATCTTTCACACCGTCAGCCGTCAGAAGTCCACGCGGAAAACCTGACATGAACATCCACACTCTGCAATCGATAGCCCTGCACGGCGCGTAGACGCATCCGGCAGAAGCGAATATTCGCCAGCCTGCGTCCACCGAAATCGATGCCTCGGACTGGCTGCCCATCCTGCCGCTGTGCTTGCGCTGACGGCCATTGGAGAGTCGCAGTGCACACGCACACACCGATCGATAAGTGCGTACGCTCGCGCGCGCCTGCACACGGCGGTGCTGTGGCCAGGTGGCCAGGCGTGTCTGCGGCCGCGACGGCGCACCTCAGCTGACACGTACGCACACGCAAAAGACCATCCCATATCCCACCCCCACCTGCCTCTTCAGCGGACGCGTGCATTCATAGTTGCCCTTCTGTCGCTGGTGCTGGTTGCCCTCTGTGAAGCTCGCTTGTATCTTCTCGAAGCTCCGCCTGAAATCGTCTTTTTCCCGTGATCTTTCGCAGACATGGAGGCTATCAAAAAGAAGATGCTGGCCATGAAGTTGGACAAGGAGAATGCCGTTGATCTGTACGTTTATGATATAATTAGGCTGTCGCAGATGACTTCAAGGCCTCAGTAGCAAGTATTCATAATTATTTAGCAGTTTTTTCACTTCATAAATGCATGGCATACGAATTAACTTGCCAGATATGAGACCAGAACGTTCAATAGGGCAGAAAGCATTTATAACATTCTCCAGATGGATGGTTTTAATTAAAAAAGTAAATACTGGTCGATTTTCGAAGAGGTCGAATTCACCAACCACGAACATGTACGGTGAAACATGGGGCATCTTATGAAGCCGAGACCCATATCTAGAAAAAATGCCCTTCCCTCAAGACAAACTTGGTTTCCTTCAGAAAAATTCTGAGACTACCATTTTAGAAAGTTGTCTGTCAATAGTAATAATATTTGGCCTTTCGTAAGCTTCATTTATCACCTCAAGCAACTGTCCAGACCTCGGAATAAGTGATTATTTTCAGATGTACCCACGAATAACGGTCAAATCATCGCTTACGTCTAAATAGTTATAAGGGATAAATGTTGGAGTAACAGCGTGTCACGGTCACGGGGCCTAGGAGGGTGAGAGAGGGGAGTGCAGTAGATGCAGCGCAAGTCTACTATTACCATGAAAAAATTTACGCGAAAGTAACCGTTCCTCCGCCCATTATTCTGTGAGGCACACGGGGGATATCGTCGCTCTCGACGGCTGAATTGTCAAAACTAAGTCATTTCGCACATCTGTGCTGGTATATCACGTAAAAGTGGGATACTGCTCAATGCCATCTAGTTTCTCGCTACTGGAAACGTTTTTTCAGTAGTCAATTTGCGGTTTCATGCATGAGTTAGGAATAAAACTTTCAGCTGACATTTCATTACTGGTACAGTGACCTAAAAATCCAGGCACTTGAAACCCAGTTAACAGTCTTCTACTGAAAAACCCTCGGCAAGTCCACTAACCAGTTCCCTACGGAACTATTAGTTTACAGTAGTTGGTGTATCTCACGAAATTTTAACTGAAATTCTGAAATTTGTCTTCGATTAGAAAACCTTTCTTAAATTGGGTTGTAATATTAAATACCCTGCGGGAAACTCTCAATATATTTAACTCACGGCAAGATGTCAGTCCCTTAAATATTTAAGTAATATGGTATTTACCACCGAATGTTGAGACCCTTATTAATTCAAATATATTTCATGGAAAGCATTCGCAAAAAATTCCTTCTTGTATTTATTTTAAAGAAAAGTACGCCCTATCCCAGTTTTATACCTGAGGGAAGGGTACTTTTAAATTGCTAAGAAACATTTTTTTTCAATTCACGAATAGCTTTGAACCCGGCCTGCAATCGTACCTTCGCGTAGGGTCTTCAAACTAGGTGTTGTATACCTTCCATATGGGGGAATTCATGCACGTCATATAGGATAAGTGTATCTGCAACAGCAGGTTGGGTTTATAATTATTCAGGAATTGATAAACTACTTTAAGACCGATGTATAATCTTTTTGCAGCATAGAATTGAAAAAAAGATGTGATTTACCATAAAATAATGACAAAAACAAGATTTTTTGTACAATTTTTCTGCAAGCTTTATTTGAAGCAATAAAAAATTTGCATAACTTAAGTAGTCTTTATCGTTAACTGTGATCTTTTCATACGGGCGAGAATAAACGAATTCAAAAGTGGCATTCTAGCGTGGCTGCAAAGTCTTAAGATTGTGCTACATGATTATTGATCTTGCAACCCCCTCGTAAGAAATCATTGGTAATCAAACCACATTTCTGAATTTCAACTAACATGTAGTAAAATTCGCCAGCACTCATAAGTAAACTTCGCCAAAAGCGGGAAACGATAGGGTGTAGGACCCACAACCAACTTGAGCTAGCCCGTGGACAGTGTAGTACGTTAAATGGAGGTAGCGGGGTTTTAAAGCTGGGACAACATATAGGACGGAGATCAAGGAGACACAGCAAATAGATAAATTTCTACCGAAAGTCTTATCGTACGCTGTCGTTTGGCAAAGAAAGTGAGTGCGATAGTTAAAAGATATAAAAAGGCAATTTTCAAAAAAATGACGGACATTGAATAAAGCGTCGCTGGTAAATTTACATTTAGTCGGGAAGGGAACGAAATTTAAAACAATGAGAACCGTGATTACTAATTGATGTTTGCAGTCATGCTGACTTTTAGGATATATTTTTTGGAGTTAGCATCTACCTTGGGGCCCTACAACCTATCGTCACATGGAAGAATTTCAGAAAAACTGGGTAAATTGTCTAATGAACGGGTTGTAGCAGTTAGAAAACTATTTTTTATTGGCAGTATAGTTTTTTAGGCCACCAGTTTAGTCAACCTGCGATTCACCAGCACTAAATAAATATTTGTTTTGGCAAAAATCACTCCGTCTTTTTCTTATATTTACGGTAACCGGCCTATTTCACGAAATACTAACCGATATCTTGGAATGTTTTTGATTACTTAGGTGGGCTTGTAATAGTAATTATCATACAACATAATCCGAGGGTATTTTATTCACGCGAGGATGCAGGCTTTTGAATGAGCTTATTTTCGGCGGCGTGGAAAAACCAAGTTCGACAGAAGCGACTGCCTGATTAGCATGGTTTTGCTCATTGAATTTCTAGGGGTATTAAAATTTGAAAATATTTCATAGAAAACATACACAAAATATTCTTTTTTGAGTTCATTTGGTAGCAGATTACGTCTTTTCCAAAAGTTATGCTTGAAGGAAGGGTGCCATTAGGTCTCGAGAACTAATTTTTAACTCGAACAGCAATGGCGCTTGCTCTCGAGGTTGCCAAACAACATGCTGCGTGCTTTCTGTGCGAGCTAAATCACATATTTCTCTACGCTCTTGAGACGGTGCCATATGGAGGTTCGTAAAATTCTGAAATGGACGTAAGCCTTACTGCATACTTCATAGGTAATACTGATAGACCGAAAGATGTGGTGGTATTGAATGCGCACACTAAACAACCAGTCTGTAAACCCTGACGATTGGGCTGGCTATTTAAATAAATAAATAAATAAATTTTAATTTAATGCCAGTTTACAGGCATTGTCAAGGGAAGCGATTAAACACAAATCCGACCAGCAGTGAAAAAAAACTCCTGAGCTTAAGGCATAAAAATATAGTTGATGGTGGTTTTTGT